ACTGCGTCTGACTGAAGAACTGGCACCAATGGTGCACGTTTCTCACATTTACACCAAGTCGCGTTCCATGCCTGTTCTATTGACCCAATGGTGTTAACCGATGCAGAAGCGTCAAAAGCTTGCATATTGACGGGGTTGGCTTGGGCCAGCGACATAAGCAGAAGTCATCGTGTTTGACGCTTGGGATGCTATCGGGCACGCGACTGCCAGCAGGACTTCCTTGTGTTTGAGTTTGGTTAGCTATGGGACGCGACTTATAAGCAGAACTTCCTTGTGTTTGAGTTTGGTTTGCTATGGGACGCGACTTGCAAGCAGGACTTCCTTGTGTTTGAGTTTGGTTAGCTATGGGACGCGACTTATAAGCAGAACTTCCTTGTGTTTGAGTTTGGTTAGCTATGGGACGCGACTTGCAAGCAGGACTTCCTTGTGTTTGAGTTTGGTTAGCTATGGGACGCGACTTGCAAGCAGGACTTCCTTGTGTTTGAGTTTGGTTAGCTATGGGACGCGACTTATAAGCAGAACTTCCTTGTGTTTGAGTTTGGTTAGCTATGGGACGCGACTTGCAAGCAGGACTTCCTTGTGTTTGAGTTTGGTTTGCTATGGGACGCGACTTGCAAGCAGAACTTCCTTGTGTTTGAGTTTGGTTTGCAATGGGACGTGACTTGCAAGCAGGACTTCCTTGTGTTTGAGTTTGGTTAGCTATGGGACGCGACTTGCAAGCAGAACTTCCTTGTGTTTGAGTTTGGTTTGCTATGGGACGCAACTTGCAAGCAGAACTTCCTTGTGTTTGAGTTTGGTTTGCTATGGGACGCGACTTGCAAGCAGAACCTCCTTGTGTTTGTTTGAGTTTCCATGTAAGCAACTATGGAGAACTAAACCATCCATCCTTGGCCTGTTTTGCAGTCCTGTCAGTATTCCAAGTTCTGCACCTGCAGCCTCATTTTACAGCAGAACACCCAATTCTAATCCTCCAACTGTGTTCCCAATCCTATGGCAGCGACCTCATCCTAAACTTGCGAAAGCCTGCAATCCCCGTCCTGTCGACCAGGGTCCCATCCCCATCCCTGGCCAGGGCTCCCAATCCCCTCCTTGGTCAAGGTTGCAATCCCCATCCCTCAGACAGGGATCCCATCCCCATCCTCACCCCCGACAGCAATCCCCATCCCAAAAGTAGTGTAGCACGCCTAATCCCTAATCCTCGCCCTGGGCCCCACATCCCATCCTGACGTCGTCAACCCTATTCCCCATCCCGCCTGACCAGTACCTGCCCCCAATCCCCCATCTCTGCAACCCTCTGACCATACGATGACTCTGTCTATAGACCATACAATATTTTGTATAGACCATACAAAAGACCACAAAAGATGCTGCAAACGAAATGTCATGATGTGCTTGGAGGTTTATAAATTCTAGTATCCTGGGTATCACGGGATTGACATCCGCCGATCGGTTCTTTTCCTGCGATAAGACGTGATACAACATAAATAAAGTGGCAAGCACAACATTTAACTCGTGCCAGCGTTCTCCGTGTACGGCACCCGCTCCAGGCCTTTGCCCCCACAGAAATCCCTTGAAAGCGCTAGGGGGCTTGAGGGCAAAACACACACCTCAGGTGCCCTCCTGGGCAGCGCGACACTGAAATGAACTAGAGACCGCGGTCAAGGAGGATGGCCGCCGACCTGCAAAATAGTCGGTCATTAATATATATGTATTATGTTTACTTTTTCCAGCACACACCGTCATACGGTATTACTGTGTTTCCCTTACCGTCCCAGGTGCATATATGCCTCCATTCAATAAATCCGATATATCCATCCGATACATAGTGTCCATCCATGCATCTATACACACATCATATCTTCTTGCACAGATTATTGCATTCGCCCTGCCTTCGGCTTCACCAATCTCGCTCATGTCTTCTCCTCACCTTTTTGTCCTTTAATCTGTATTGGGGGTATGTCGAGCCATCTAACAACAAGAGCCTGTGTACGCCCAACAAACGCACATGACTCACAAGATAACCACATGGAGCGCCTATATACGGCCCTCAAATACGGTGACACGTTTTACTTCGTTCAGGTGCTCAGTACCTACTAAACATGGTTGCTCAGGCAATGCATCTCAAGACATAAATTACACAAGACGAGCCCAAGCCTAGAAAGATTCAACCATGCCCTTCCGAGCAAGCAAGCCAGGATATATGGACCCAGCTAATAAACTTCCAACTGATATTTGGAAAAACGAAAGCAGTTAAGATACTGTGCACATAATTGGTGCCTGCGTGCGCAACTGAAATGAATCCCACCCTCCTGCAGCCACCCTCCCTACCAACTCATAGGGGGTCTAACAGCGGCTAACAGGCGTGCCTGTTAGGGAATGTTAGCCTAACAGATTCTCTAACAGTGATGGGGCTGTCAGACGATGTTTGGGCTGGCGGCAGGTGGATCTGGCTGTTAACAACCATGTTGAAGAAGTAGAACAGGAATTGGTGCTGTTAGCCGTTGTTAAGGCTTGTCAGATGTTTTCAGACTGTATTTTAGCTCTGTCTCACGTTGTTGATGGATAATGTCGTTTAGAACAAACATTCTTGAACGGTTTGTAACGAAATGTCCTGCCTTTTGCCTAATATTTGGCAAACCATACGTTTCAAGCAATATCATCAATCATGCATATTACCTCGCTTATTAGCAAGGCACTAATTGACTGGATGAAAATCCAGGCTGCTGTTCCAAAAGCACTACTGCTGCAGTGGATTTAGGCATGAAACGAATGGCACTACTTACATGGCGTAAGGTATCCATGTGCTTCACAGTTTAGCATACGAAGCACTACTGCATTTGAAAAGCAGTGCATTTGAAAAGCAGTTCAACGCCAATACCTACTTACAGCCACCAGCAGGCCCACAAGGTTGAATTATCTGCATCCTCTCTCTCGTTACTGAAACACAACGTGCTGCACCTAAAGTAGGCCCTGAGCTTA